GCAAAGGAGGATGGGCTCACGCTGTAAATTGTGAGTTTAACTACAGTTCCATTTCATCTCTGTGAACTGCAGGATAAGGACCCATTTCTCAGGAATTATAGTCAGCAGTATTAGTCCCTGGGTATGGTATTACCATATCTGGGATGATTTAGGGACAATGAAATCCCAGTGCCATCAAGCCAGGTGATTCTTCTGACACAAATGATCCTACAACTCAATATTCACCGGGAACACTCGCTGAAATTCAGTCTGTTTGCCTTGCTTGTTCCTTTTCATACCCACCCATGGCAGGGCTGGGCTGGCGGGAGGAGCACACTGTCACTTTTTCCAAATATAATTGAGCTCTGTGAACGAAAGATTAAAACTGCTGCAGCAGGAGGAAATTATCCTGAAACTCAAAACCGTTAATCCAAGGGCAGCGCATTCGGAGGAGCAGGGACAGGAGTTTGTCGTTCTTGGAGAATCCCCCCAACACATCTAGTTCCCTTGTTCTCCTGCTTTTTTTTTAGCCCAAGAATTCATTTTCACTTGAAAGTAAAAACACAGTTGGGGTAAAAGTGGTTGTGTAGGATCATGGTAAGTGATCCACTGGCCTGCAACTAGCTCATATTAACTTCTACTCAGTGTTAATCATCACTTAGTACACTGCTGTGGGGAGTCCAGAGGCTTTGCTCTATCATTTCTCAGTAATCTAAACACTCTTAAGACCCCAGCAAAAAAAAAAAAAATCTGAAGTATTAGGAAAAGAAGAATCATCCACAGGCTCTGCTGGAAGCCTGCCAAAGGTTTCAGCACCGTTAAGAACTTGGCAATTCTTTGCAATCTTACCTATTAAAAGGCAAATAAATGGTAACAGTGGTTTGGGTCTCTTTCCCAGATAATTTGTGCTGAAATTACTAAACTGAGAAACAATTTAGTAATATAGCCACTAATTTTACATGGATTTAAACCATACTGGTACACAACTGCTTCTTCAAGGCCTGATAAAAAACAGGGAACCTACTCATCTGCCTTTCTATCATCAGGGGTGACTTTCCGGATCCTGGATGTGGCTGTTCCCCTCTGCACACAAGCAGCTCCAACTCCGAGCAACAAGACTCCCCTGGCATATTGAATCAGGCTCCTGGTTCATCCTACATCTCTTATGCAAGTCAAGTTTTTCTGTAAGACGACAAATAAAATGAAGGTGGGAAAGGTACCAGACAGCAGAACAAGAAAAATTATCATGTAAATTGACAGTGAATGTTCAGAACTGGGGTAATTAGCAGAAAGACAAAAAGCTTTTGTCTCTTATTCTAAGTTCAGCACACATCCAGCACTGCTGACAGCCTAGCACAGCTTTCACCCCAACATCTGGAACCATGCAGCTGCTTGAACATGACCAGGATCCCAGTTTACCCTTCCAAAAGGCCATTGCTGGTCCTCAAGATATCAACATTTGAGAAATATTGAAGAACAGTGGACAAAACAAACCCCAGAGGGTGATGTCTTCCACAACTGAGACAAATCCCTAGATAGGATATTTGAGCAAAGCCCAGGAATGCAGCTGAGCTCTGATGGTCTGGTTTGTCTCTACACCTACTACTCACATTTCTACCTCCAGTTAGTGCACCCATGGCCTTTCCCAAGCATCAGCTGCAAGTGGGAACTGTTGTTGTGTGTTCCCAGGGGTTTTTTTTAATGCTCAAATCCTTAGTTTGATTTAAAATAGGATGCTCTCTGTCTTTTTAGCTGTAAAATAACTGCACGTTACTGCACAGCATCGGTACCATTCAACAGGAGATCACTGGGTGGGTTTTCATGTCAGCTTTGTTTCCATCAAACACTGGTGGTCTCCAGTTCTTGTAAGCTCAGATAAATAAGACAAAACACACGCTTAATGCAAAGATCACCTGACACACCAGCTTTTAAAATGCACCAGGCAGCATAAATCACATTCCCAGACGAAACACAGAGACAATTTTCCATGTAAAATGATTACGATTTAACAGAAAAACTTATTTTTAGCTGAAGGCGTTCTGGCAGCTGGAGATGCAGATTTGTGGCTACTGTAACCACTAAACATGCACGGATTGCAATACAGGGTTGCCTGCTCTTTAGCTTTTAATTTACAGAACTAATTAGTTGGATTTACTGTCTTTAGCATCCCTTACCCAATATTTACTTAAGGAGAAACAGATGAGCCCTGCATGTCAAGTCAAGCCCAGTAACACCAGCACAAGGGCACGTCCATGGGAAACACCTTGGATGTAGCAAGAGGTTCAAATCTTGCAGCAGCAAATAGATGCGTCACTTTACACAGAGAAGAGACAGGCAGAACCTTCACCAGCTGAGACAGATCAACCAGGGGAGTTAAAACTTCTCCAGTAACTTCAACATGTATGGAGGAGAGAGGATGTCCTGATCAGCAAGTAAACCACAGAATCCCAGAATTGCCTCAACTGGAAAAGACCTTGAACATCATTGAGTCCAACCATGAACCCAACACTGACCAGTCCCCGACTAACCCATGTCCCTCAGCACTATGTCTACACGACTCTTCAATCCCTCCAGGGATGGGGACTCCATCCAAACCCCCTCCAATGCCTGAGAACCCTTTCAGCAAAGAAATTCTTCCTCACATCCCATCTCAACTGCCCTGGCCACAACTGGAGCCCATTTCCTCAAGAGGAAATGTCCTCTTGGTCCCTTGGTCCTTGGTTGAACACACCCACCCCCACCTCTCTCCACCCTCCTCCAAGGGACTTGGACAGAGCCAGAAGGTTCCAGCAAGATAAAGGAAAATACAGGAGTTTTGTAGCAAAAATGAAAGCATCAATACTTTCCAAAGCGTATTACAGTATCAGCATGAAGTAACGTGTGGCAAAGTCATTAAGGCAGTTGATTGAGTACATCCAAGACGTAATGAGGTTTGGGAGTTGGTGGCTTAGCAGCAAGAGAGCACAGCTGAGGAACTACCCAGAAACTTCCGTGGCAGTTACCACGTAAAATACTCATCTCCCCACTCAGCTGGAAGAAAATACCCTGTGCAGTAACACAGCACCGCAGATTTAGACTTCTAGGTATTGAAAAGATGAAGTCATAGTTAAGCAGAAAGTTGAACATGAAGAAACCCTGTAATTACACTTTATTAGCAGTACTTTATTTAATGACTAGGGGATGAAGAGACCTTCCAACCACAAACACGTTCCCAGAGAACACCAGAGCATTCCAGTTGGCAACGCCTTCAAACCCCCTTTCCTTTGGAACTGCTTGTTCCCTTTGCAGAGAAGCCCAACAACAGAAGGTTCTACAAAGCAAGGCAGGCTATTTCAAAACTTCTGATTTTAAAACATTTAATTAAAATATTACTTTAATGGCACGATAATTACATTATTACTATTGGGTGAAATCCCAATTTCACCACCCAGAGAGCACTTACAGCATCACCCAGGTTACAACCAAGTCTCAGACCATTCCACAGCCTCAAGGCTCATCTCTCTCTTTCACCCAAATATTGAAAATATGAGAAATCCAGAGTTCAAACCTGCCCCCAGCTCTCACTCAGCTGCCTGAACTGTTCTTGCACTCCACAGCAAGAGTTCCTTCCCCAGGACAAGACCAGAGCAACATCATGGTACCCCAACAGCCTTTTTCTTGTAAATTCTTGACTTTCTGCTTTACCCCAACACATTAAACACTGTTTTTCTTATGTCTGCTAGGGCAAATAAAATGTACCAGCTATGGTAACGCAAGATGGAGAAGTAGTTCGTGTTGATACATTTCAAACCATCTGTTTTCTGTATGTCCAGCCATTCTAGAGTATTTCTAGCACTTTGGACACCAAAAATTTCTTGATGTGAAACTCTGCCCTGCTTGTTTTCATTGGATTCCCTCTGAAAACAGCACAGGTTGAAACAGGTCACTGGGTTTAATTGAGAACAGACACTCGAGTCCCAGGAAAGGCCAAGCAGATGGAAAAAACATTCCATCTGAGAAAGTTACTGAAGGAGACATTAGACATCAGGGGTTTTGGTTTGGCTCTGCTCTGTAGTGTAAGTAGTGACTCTAAAAATGGTGCATTTTAACACAACAAATCTTGTTTCCTGCTTAGTCACTACCATGGCAAAGTCTGTATTTGATTATCAGAAGCAACAACATTCAAACTTAACTGCAGAAAACCAACACATAATCAGATTTATAGAGCTAGTTCTGGTTTCACTACCAAGAAACACTCACCAGAACTTATTTTTCTCTGCAGTGACTGCAAGATCGCTGGATTCTTCCCCTTTTTATATAGTATGACTTTTTAGACAGTAACAAAGATAATTTACCTCAGTAGATTCACTTACATGCTCCATGTCGGGCCTCCTAACAAGCGAAGAGTTTCAAAACATCCTGCAGTGATCTAGCTTTTAGGTAAGGAAATCTCACTTTTTACTCATGAATTAAGACTGAATTAATTATCTGAATTAAAACACTTAAAATCTTGGCCATTAGCAAAATAATGCCTAAATACAAACGTGCAGCCAGTATTCTTCTGACATTAACCACATCAGAGATGAAATCAATGCAAGAGAAATTATAAAAGCATTAAAAACAGTCCAAGCCAAACCGTATCCAGCTTTATTAAAGGTATTTTTCATAAACAATCATGGTAATTTAGGCAGGACATGGGCTACAATCTGCAACATTTTACAACAACTGGCAAACTCCCTTCCCTTCGTGGACTACCAAAACGTCAAAGTTGCTATAAAACTGAAGAATCTTCATTTCATACTCGTAAAGGGAAAAGTTTAGAGTGAGGGTGGACACTTTCACATTCAGCATGTTGTTTAACAACTCTTCACAAACCTACCCTGACTTTTAGAGGAAAAAAAACAAAAAAAGAGAAAAATTAAAATGCAGGTTTCTTAATCTGAAGATCCACAATATAAAAGAGGAAGTACAGCTCCTTTTAGAGCCTTTATATCCCAAATGAGACACCAGAAGTCTGGATCACCTGACAACACATTTAGAGCGGTAAGTCCCAAAATGCCCATTTTTTTGCCTTATTTCTGAGTGACAGGTTCTAAGCAAACGATAAGGACACCAAAGAACATAGAGAGGGTGTTACAAACTGCGGTTTTGAAGTCGGCAACAGGCATCTTGGGAGCTCTGATGTTCACTCTGATGCATTTCACAAAACTTAACAGATGTGCAGCCTGAAGGAATCTCTTCCTCCTCTACTCAGGAAGAGCCCTTCTAAAAAACCAGGGGACCAGGAAAACTTTTCTTATTAAAATTTAGGTTCCAAGAAATAGACTAAGTGACATTTGTCCCCACTGACCCTCCCCCCCCACCCTCCCCCCAAAAAACACAACAACGAAGCGGTCTGTGTGCTAACAACATAGCTTAAAAAAAAGTAAAACAAAATTCTGCATTGTTATAAAACTTGATAAAAAATAGTATTTCAAACTGTACAGTCACCAGAAGTACACAGTTATCAAAAATTCACACATTTTACTTGGCTTCACCAGCACCTTCAGCTTTCTGTGCCTAAAAGAAAAAGGGGAAGCAGTTAATACACAGCACACACTTGCACCAAACAACCGGTAACACCTTTTCCTAACCAGCAGTTCTCTGAACAGAAGGAATCTTACCTGGATTGCCATCACTCTATTTTTTAATAAAATGAAATCTAACATTTGAAGTAGCATCAAGGCAACTTGAAGCTGTTTTATTACGTGCAAACTTTAAGCATTTTCAGAACAGTAACAATTTCAGGTGACAATTCAACTGGCAAACAGACAATTTGAACTTTTACCAACCAAGCGACATCCCTTTCACACCTGCAGATGCGTTAGTAGTGTCATAAGCTACAGGTCTAAATAATCAAGCAGCAATTCCTCTTCGTTAGCGCAAGCCTGGACCTGTCTGTGTTTGATAGGGAAAAAAATAATTCGCTGATCTAAGACAAGCTGTCAGAACAGTTGTGGTACCTGGTCTGTTTTGGCATCTCCATTTTCTGCAGGGTTGTTTCCCTCCTTGCCAGCATCAGCTTTCCCCTTCTTCCCCTTGGGCAACTTCTCGCTCTTCTGTGAACGTAAGATGATGTACATCGTTACAACGACCGACATCCAGTCATGAAACCCAAAGGACTCAAAATTGGAATGGTAAAACCCAACAGTGGATGTTGGCCCGGAAAGAATGCAACATGTAAGCATTTGTGTGTTCAAGAGATTGACAACTGTGAAAAATCTTCAGTATTTTTTTAATGCAAATTTCGTAAAATGCAAAAGCTTTCAGTGCAACTGTAAAGAAGTGAGGATGCAGCTCAATTTCATCACTACATGAGCTGTCACTCAAAGTTTTATTAGTTATCAGACAAATCTAAACCTCATAACCCATTTATCACTCAATAATAGTGCTGACACAGCAACTTACCTTTGGAGCTGCCTTTTTAGGTTTAGGCTCTGGCTTCGGAGGAGCAGGTTTCTGTAAGTGAGACAAATCCCTTGTGTTATCCCAGTTATTTTAAGAGAAATATACTATTTTTAAAAATATTCAACCCAAACAGTTTAGTTTTAGGAAAGCAAAAATCAAACCATTTGAAACTGAAGCACTTTTGTCAATTATTCTACCACTCCCACAGCACCACACAATGGGGCAGTTCGTTAAGCCAGCAACTTTCTTTTCCACTGAACAATGTGTCTCTCCAGAACACCTACAGTTCTCACGCAGATGGGGCACAATACTCCAGCCTAAAACTATTAATTGTTGTGACATCTCTGCTCAACAAGAGAATACTCACAGCAGATAACCTCGCTGATCTCCGTTGTGGCTGTTCAAAAAGAAAAATGATTGAAGTTAAGGCGATGAAATATAAACCATAAAAACTCATAAAGTAACTCATTTCAAAGTCGTAAAATCCTAGAATTAAGGTTTAAGTTTTTAGTTCCTTTTTTCCCCGTTCTCAAGAAATATGAGACTATCCCTGTTAAATCACTGCTAATAGTAGTTAAGCAGATTTTTCATGGTTAAAAGACAGTTAATACTTTAAGAAGTCAGAATCAATTAAGACCAACCCTCGCCCTGTTCCTCAGTTCTCAATTTTGATGAAGTTAAACCTCCTCTTCCAACGTAAACACTTTATGATCCAACTTTCTCAAAATATGGAACTTCTTACCTCATCCTTAACTTTGGCCTTATCGCCCTTGGTATCTCCTTCAGCCTAGGATGTGAAACACAAATCGTACCGACAAGTTACGGGGACTCAGCCCCCCCAGAACCCC